CAACCCGGCCAGGACTCCAGCTTCTGAAGCGTGACTGCTTGGCGGCCTGGTTCCCCTCGGCTGTGGAAAGGAGGTGCTGTTCACGGTTTCCAGTCGGGGCTTGTTGGAGCCGGTGCCTCAGGGTGAGGTGGGAGGCGGAATGGGCGAGGGGAAGAGGGAGGAGGGATAGCCTCAAAGGTCAACTAGGGGTCAGCTTTTATTGTTGCACCAAATAGCCACAATCAAAAATTCAAAAACCACGGAGTCAGATGCTCTTTGAAGCCATTTTTAATTTGTAAATCCTGCGTTCTCTCATCTCAACATGCCCATTCCATCGATGGAGCTGGACCGATCAGAAGACGCTGCTGCATCGTGGGGCCTGAAACTGCATCTCGGTTACGAGACCAGCAGGTTCCAATAGAGGCGGTTTTGTCCTCCAGGGAACATCTGGCAATGTCTGGAGACACTGTTGGCTGTTGGGGACAGCGAGCTACTGGCATCTATTGGGCAGACACCAGAAACCCTGCTGCACCTCCTACAATGCACAGACAGACGCACGACAGAGAATCCTCTAGCCCCAAGTGTTGATAGGTGGAGGCTGAGAAACCCCGTGCCGGGAAAGTAAGTGTGGCCACAGGTGAGCGTCTGAGTTGGGGAGGCGTCATTCAGCTTCCCTTCCGGCCCAGCTCAGACGGAGAGGTTACCTCTTTGCTTGGCTCCTCCCTGCTGAACTCCCCTGGGCCTTAGACCTGAGGCGGACACCCTGCCTGGGGACATGGTGCAGACTCCAGTTCACCCCTGCTGAGGGGATCTCACCGCCTGATGCCCAGATGCCCTGGAGCTGCCCAGGTACCACATCCTACTTCCATCCAGATCAAGAGCTGGTTATAGCAACACAAAGGCTGGACTTTCCATCCACTCGGTTAGCAAGTAGTTATTGATTATTTACTGTGTACTGGGAACAATTCTAGGTGCTGGGGGTTTCATAATGAGCAAAGCTAAGCCTCTGCCTTCACACAGCATCCCAGCCAGAGGAGACGGAACAGAACCAAAACACAGACAAGTGCGCAGGGCTCAGGAGGTAAGAACGGGGAGCACTGTGAACATTAGAAGCGGGCGGGGCACAGAGAGGGGGGAGAGGCTGAGAGGCCAGGAGAAGCCTCTCTTATGAAGCGACTGGGACGAGGCTGTGCCGGCTGGGACAGCTGGAGGCCGGGCTTGGGGCAGAGCAGCCAGAACACCTGAGCTGCATGACCGCTGGGGGCCACGCAGGGGTCCGAGGGCGGGGTCCGAGGGCCAGGCCGCGCAGCTGCTGGCCAAATGAGGTGCTCAGACTTCACCCTGGGAGATGGAAAGCCGGGAGAGAGCTCAGAGACAGTGTGGCACAAACGGCCACGGCTTAGAGGAAAGAAACCCCGAGCAACTACGTTTGGCCGCTTCAGTTGTCCTGGCCGCACGACCGTGGCAAAGCAGCAAAGTCTCGAAATGTTCTTCCCTTTGTATCTGCATTTAGAGAACAGAATAAACAGATACAATATCCTCTTTCCTTGTGTCATCAGGGCCTCCCGAGATTACTAGGGCTGGTTTGGCAACCCCCTGTGGCCACGTGGAGGGCGTTCTGAACATCCTAAGGCTGGGGAGGCATTTCCAAGTTTAATCAAACACATTAATGCAGATTTACTTCACTGGCGTAGAAGAAAGTCCTAGCCTCCCACCACTGGTGGACCAGGGACAGGCTGGGGAGCCTGCACCTCGGAGAGGCTGGCCCCGATTTTGCAGGGCGGGGAGCGCCCGTCTGTAATTTGTTCCTCAGCTGCCAGCCCTTCCCACGCAACTTTGCAAATAAAACGCGACACTTGTTTAAATATTTACTAGCTTGTTGACCCATTTGTTGTTGTTGTTAATTAGATTTTTAAAAAAAGAAAGAAAGAAAGAAAGAAAGAAAACAAACATTGTAACAGCAAATGAATCCCGACAGCATTGACACTGAGGCGGGTCAGCCGGGCTACCGCTAAGCATCAAGTCAGGATTTACCAAAATGACAGTATCCAAGGGGAGAGATTTAATTAGAAATATCAGAAACAGGCTCTGAATGCAAAAAAGGTCAAGGCCCATCCTGACCCCCCCCCCCATCTGCGCTATTAAACTAACACAATAGATGTGAAAACATTTGTTTAGAAAAATTTGTTTTCCACCATTGTTTTTCTGTTATTTTCCCTTAAATGCGGTTTAGCCCCAGACCTCTTCCTCCTACAAGGGGTTGGCTGAACAATTCTGTAGCTGTTGCTACAGAACAACAAAAGCTATTTTAGGATGTTGCTCTGGAGTCCTTGGCCTCTCTCAAACTTTTCGTGGCTTTGTGCTTTGTAAGCACCTCCAGGTCAAGCTAACACTTCCCACGTGCTCCCCTGGGGGCTTCTGGGAGGCCAGGCCGGAGGACCCTCGGGATCACAGGCACGGAGGGGTTCTGGCTGCCGACTGTGGCCTGCGGGCTCCGGCTGCCCTTGGCCGCCCTTGGCAAGAAAGGGTTAACTCAGAGAGCCTCAGCAAGTGTCTGGCCGGCAGGACTTGCAGGACTTGTTGCCAGTGGCTGCCATGACGACTGACTGGGCCGTGTGCACCGGGAGCTGCCGGCTGGGGAAGAAGGACCACAGGGGTTGAGGTTGTCGTGGGAAGGGAATGACGTTCCCGTGGTCACAGAGTGTCTGCCGATGGAGCAGACGGAAAGATAGCGCCGCTGGAGCGCGAGGACACCATTCACCACCACGCAGGTCAGGGCCCAGCTAGTCCCGAGAGCTAAGTGTTGAACGCGGATTTCTACTTCACAGCCGCCAAAAGGAGTGACTGATTATTTGAGCAGGATTTCTCTGACGAGAAGCTGAGGCTCAGTGGGTGTGGGGTCGATTCTGAGGGTCGCTTGACTCTCTTGCCAGAGCCTGAGCTCCCAGCTGCAGAAGTGCCCGCCTCACCCTGAGGCCTGCGGACTTCCCCCGTCCCCTCCGCGATGTCTGCAGGGAAGGTGACCCTGGTCTCCCGGGACAGAGCCTCTCCTGCTCTCACAGAAGCCCCGCGGCAGGTCGGCAGTCCAACCCGACAGGCGGTGAATGAGAGAGCTTCCAATCCGCTCCCTTCTCTCCCATCCAAAGTGACCTAGATCGCTCTTCCCTCTGAAGACGGAGGGCTGGCCCTGGGTCTAGCTGTGACCACGGAAAGTGGCAGAAGTGACACTGTGTACCCCCAAGGCCCGCTGGAAGGGACGCCCGCCTTCTGGCTCTGGGTCAAGCACTCCACGCGGGCCCAGCCACGGGCTACAGGACGCCCGGAAGGGGAGCCCAGACTGCTTCCTGCCCTTGGGCCCACTGGCAGCAGCACCAACTGGCCGTCTTGTGAGTCATCTGGGACGTTCCAGCCCGTTCGACGGCATGTGGAGCAGAAGAACTGCCCGGCTGAGCCCAGGCAAACCCTGAATCATGAAGATAATAACCGGTGCTGGTACTTGTTTTAAACCACCGAGCTGTGGGGGTAGTTTGTTTCACAGCAGTGCATAACCGAAAGTCTGTTTACCCAGGAACATGCCCTCTGGGACTGCAAAGGCCGGACGGTGTTTGTTTGGATGTGGTGCCCCTGGCTCTGCAGGGGTGTGGCCAGGGGAGAGCCCCACGAGGTCCCTCCTTTGCATCCCGTGGAGGACGTCTCTGAGGAGGGCGGGAGGGCACTGGCGTCTGTCCACAGCATTCCTAGAGCCCTTCCATCGGCGAAAGTTGGGTCTCCAGGCGCCTAATGAGACCTTGCCCAAAGCCAGGCAACAGAAGTGGCCGGCCCAGAATTCAGCAGGAGGGAGGTGGAAGGGGTGTCGATGAGCTGCAAGGGGCCGGGGACCCCGCAGGGGCGGTCTCTTTCCTGCACACCCGATGTAAAAGCAGGGCTTTTGTTGTGGAATCCGGATGTTGGGTTGCTTCTCTGCCTTCGGCAAGTTACTGAACTTAATCCTCATTAAATTATTGTGAGAGTTAAAAGTGAAAATAGACATAAGTTCTTAGTGCCGTACCTGTAGGATTTAGGTGCTCAATAAATAAATACCCTTGCCCTGGCCGGTTTGGCTTGGCGGTTGGAGCATGACCAAAGAGTCGCGGGTTCGATTCTCGTCAAGGGCATGTACCTCGGTTGCAGTTTGGTCCCTGGTCGTTTGGGGTCATGCAGGAGGCAACCCATTGATGTGTCTCTCTCACATCAATGTTTCTCTCTCTTTCCCTCCCTCCATCTATCTGAAGATGGATGAAAAAAATATCCTCGGGTGGGGATTTAAAATAAATAAGTACATAAATACCCTTTCCAAATGTACAGTGGCTTTTGTTTCCATGTGAAAATGGACTGGGACTCGGCAGAAGCAGTTAATGACGTGCCATACGAGGTGAGAACACGCGGGATTTATTCTCCAGCCTGTCGTTTTGACCCTCCGTGGCATCTATGGGGCTCTTGCTAACCCGATGCTCTCCCCTCAGGACACCAGCACAGGTCAGTGGGCCCTTGCGTGGTGCTCGCCCCCTGACGCTCGCGGGAAGGCGAGCAGAGGCTGCGCTCAGACCTGTGCTGGCCTCGTTTCTTCCAGCCTGACCTTTGGCAAAGGTGCTGTGTGTGCTCAGGGTTGACTCCAGAAGCCTCTGTCAAGTGTGAATGGACGGGAGGTCTCCGGGCCATTTACACCTGCCGGAGGGGCCTGCTCGCCCCGCTCTGGTGTTTATGGCCTTGTGCTCCGTGGACACGTTTTCCCACAGATGTGCTTGATCGAGCCTTCTCAAATTCTCCTCCCTTCCCATCGATTTCCACGGCGGGTTTGCCAGACCTCTGCGCTGGAAGACCGAATACCCCGCACTCGCCAAGTCCGATCGTCACAGCCGGTTCTGAACTGTGGTCTTACAAACCTAAACTTCTTCGGGGTCTGTTTGGAGAATCCAAGCAAGAGCTCCAGTTCTTCCTCTTGCAGCAGACACAACCCCAACACCCCTTTGTTTATCGAAGAGTCAGACGAGGCTGGCGCGGAGCGGGGACACGGTTTTCACTTCTGTGGGCTCCTTCAGGCCACGGAGGCAGCGCAGGGCCACGGGAGTCTAGTTAATGAGCAGGTTATGCAATATTCATTGTGTTCAGTTTAACTCTTCAAACAGAACGTCTAATTGCGAAAAGAAAAAAAAAAGAGCAGCTAAGTACAGATGTTGAGACAACAAAGCTCGGGAAGGACTCCGGCTCCCTCCAGTAACCGGTGCCCGACAGCAGCCCAGCGGGTCCCTGCGCTCGTCGGCTGTGCTCTGGCTGAGAACTGTGGGGTCTAAGGACGACGGGCTTCTCGGAGGACTGCTTTCTGGCTGCCACAGAGGGCTGATCCAGTCGCCTTCGGCTTCCACCGGAACACAGCGGTTCTCCCCGATCTGCCTGCCCGCACAGTCTCACCCCCATCGCTCCCGGCAACAGCGTCCTCGGCAGGCCCCCGGAGGACACCTCCGTCTGCCTGTGGCTGCACTGGGTGTGCAGGTAGCAAGGGGCAGCAGCCAGAACCATGCCCAAGGTGGCCGAAAGGCGAAGCAGGACTCCCAGTCGGGGAGTCTTGAGCTGGATCCCCAAAGGGTCACTGGCTCCCTCTCGCCCACCTTCAGGCCCTGGGTGGGTCTTCCTGGGGTAGCCCACTCTGTCCCCTCCATTTCCCTCCCCCACTCTGAGCTCCTTGTGCTTTGACTGAGGCAAGAAGCTGGCAGAGGGCCCGGATGCCCCGGCTGGCCCGCAGCGGCGGGTGGCCCAGGAGACGCGGAGGTGTGGAAGACGGGTGTCGGGTTGGCTGCCCCGCCCCATTCCCAGCAGAGCTTCGGAAGGCCAACGGTGGTGGGGATTGGCAGGGTGCACGGTGTCCAGAAGAGGCCTCGTCACGGTCCTGTTAGAGGCTTCCCTCTCGTCCTAGAAAAACAAAGGGACAAGTCCAATGGGCTGGTCCTCGCCCAAGCTGCCACTGAACTCTGCAGCCAACCTGTCTCCTTTAAAGAATTCCAGGCAGCCGAAAACCCAGCCTCGTGCCTGCTCCTACAAGAGTTCAGAGTAAAAAGCCCACGTAGATCAATATGCACATTTATCGATGGGGACGGGAAGTGAATGGAAGCCCCACAGACAGCGTGCAGGCCGGTCACGAGGATAGACCCAGGGCGGCTCCCGGACCAGAACGGCGACTGTGACCACTGATGGCCGGAAGCTCTCAGTATATCTTTTTATGCTAACACCCAGGCAAGAGGAACCATTTAATCTGACGATTTGAGTAAGAATAGTACACCATGTTTTATTTTTGTGTTCCTTTTCAAAGGAATAGTAAACCAGTGGGTATGTATATTTTATATTGCCCATTGATCTAACCTCTATACATGATCTTATAAGGCCAATGTTATGAAGGAGGGGTTGGGGCAGGGAGGAGAGAGGAGCTGTTAACCAAGCTGAGTGGAAGCATAAATCACTAACACCATCAATTTCTACAAGTGCCGATACCTTCAGAGACAAAGGCTGGTACTGACTGGTAGGACGACGCTATGTGTACATCATGACCTTGCCTCATTCTCTGTAGCTTTTGCTACTGGTCTAATAACTCTGATCTCCCAGCCTGGAACTTCCCACTCTGAGTTCAAAATACCAACCTCACCCCCTCACCCCCATGCACAACTCAGGCTGTTACCTGCTCATTCCTACCCAAGGGCGGGCAAGTTTCCGATGAATCAAAGCTTGGATCATCCTGAATCCTACAGGGAAGAATAGAGGTGCTGAGAAGAGGTCACTACGTGTTTGGATCAAAAAGCAACTTTTCCTATCACTGCTGTGTATACTGATAAAATCAAATTTCCTCGAAAGACACCTGAGTTGAGAGCTGGGGACAGGAGGGGCAAATGAGGGGAGAGGTGAGAGGATGGCAGGAAAGAACTCACTGAATGCTTTTATTTATTATTTTATATAAATGTATATTTATACTTTATAAATTTATATATCTAAAATACAAAACATATCTTTATGTTTTATGTTATTTAGAGCAGCATGTCGGAGACCTCACCCTGTCCACGAGAGTACACTTTCCCCAGGTGATTTCATACCCAGCCCTTTTGACCAGTCACCCTTCTACAGTCAGGGTTTCTCATACACTTAAGAATAACTATGGTTGAGATCTTTTCCTGTCAGACTCCAAGAAGTTCACATTTCCTCAGCATTCCAGTGTTTGGCATCATCCCACCAAATTGCTGATTGGTCCACTCGCTGGCCCATTACCTGTGGTGGGTGCCAGGGCTGGAAGCAAAGCCCTCTGTGGACAGTCTCCTGAGGGCCACTCCAGCCCACGGACATCCAGGGAGGGATCTAGGGTTGGGTCGCCATCCCTGCTGGGTGGCTGGCCATTGCTGACGGCAGTAGCTGCATGTGGTGGTTGGAACACGGCCTCTGCACCCCCAGGAAACGCTGACACCCCAGTCCCTGGCAGGAGCAGGGTCTACGCTGTCCTCCTCTGCAGCCCCAGCGACGGCAACAGCAAGGGTGTCTGAGCGCTGCTGCGAGAGAGCGATGGGGAGCCTGGGAGCTAAACAGAGGCCCAAAGACACCCAGAGCGAGTGGGAGCATTTTCCTGGTATCGATTAGCACCAACAGCCACGAAAATGGGTAAATGCTAGAGACTTTAATGTGCCTTGAGACAGACCATTAAGTGTGAGCCACTCAAAAGTGTCAACATAAAAATGACCAGCCCAGTAACATAAGCCCTGACTGAGCCGCGAAGCACTCCACTTCTTAGCTCTTGCAGAGTAAGTCCCTGACGTCGGGCCGTGCACTCCCCAGTCACCAGTCAGGGAGGACAGACACCACTGCACTTGTCTCACCTCCGCCAGAACTGCTCCTCGCTAGACAAACAGTGGAAATCACAAGTCAAAGATGTTTAAAAGCCCTCGACCTTTCTTGCCACGTTAGCAACATTCCAAATTCCTGGGCGCTGGGAGTGACTGGAGCCTCTGCTGAGAGATCATCGCCTGCGCTGCCCTCCGCTGTCTCGCTGCTCCGTGACCGCCAGCGGGACAGCCCAGGGGTACAGTCGCTGAGCACAGAGCAGTGTCGCAGTCAGACCACCGTCTGGGCTCTGTTCTCCACTCTGCCAACTCCTGGGGCTTTGGACAAGCCCCCCACAGCAGCAGCAGGTCCTCATTTGCAGAACAGCACGCAGGTATGGGCGGCTGACGCGGAGCTGTTGGAGGAGAGGCACGAAGCCCTCCTGCCCCGAGGGCCGACCGCCTCGCTGGCTGGGTGGCGCTGATGGAGTTCACAGAACCGTTGGCAAAGTTCCTCTGGCCGGGGCTCCAGCAGGGTTGGGTTGAATCTTTGGGGAGGGGTGCTGCTTGGTCCCAATACCTTCATCGCTCAAAAACATCAAGACCAAGGGGAAACTGAAGAAACCTAACACAGACACACAGAACGTGGCCCAAGTCTGACAGTTCTGAACTCCCGCCTGCACTCTAAGTGCATCCGGACATCTGCAGACCCACTGTGTGCTGGGGCCACCGGCGCAGAAGGGGTGCAGGTCGGCGATTTGTTCCCGACTGAAATCTCGGAGAGACTCTTAGATGCCCACCCTTAGCAACGACAGTGTGACGGAGATGTCACACCAGGCGAGGGACGCAGTTACGTCTGCCTGCCAAGAAGGGAAAATTCCGCAAAGGAGATACCTGAGCTGCCCCTTGAAAGGTAAATAGACCCTCAGGAGGCACAGTCCTGTTTGAGAAAATGTCAGAAAGCAAAACTTGGAGACATAAAAGTAGGTCATGTCAAATGAGATTGGGTAGGACCCCAAAGGGGCCAAGGGTCTGGTGGGAAATGTTTGAGAAATACAATATACTGTCTTCCCAACGTGGAAATTCATGATTCCCACCGGCCCACTGAGGTCGCTTACAGTAAGAAATCTATTTCACTTTGTTCGATGAACGACACCTCCCCCAACACTCACACACAGGCGCGCACGCGCATGCACACACACACACACACACACACACACTCCTTTTTCCTTTGGGCAACACTAGGGTTTGTATAAAGAAGGCTGGGGCCGGAAGGGGAGGACTGTGAGCAGCATAATAAGGAGCTGACCCTGTAGCTGCTCGGACTGGAGTTCTCTGCCCACTGGGGGACCAGGTTCCCAGCAGGGCCAACCCCCAGGGAGGCGGCAGGACCATCAGGAGGCCCCCCCTGAGGCCTCACTGTTATTCACATTCCTATGGAAAGGAGCATGCTCTGCTCGGGATTGGAGAGCAACATTTGAGGCTTTGTAAGCCATGAGACTTGACACACGGTGCGCTCGCAGGCTCCTCTTCACGCTGCGGCGCTTTCTCTGCTTAGGAGCATCTTGGCGCAGAGGTTGGAAGGAGCAGTGCTGGGCCCTGGGGCTCAGACCAGGTCTGGGGCAAAGGCAGAGCGCGGAGGGTGGTGGTCGGGCTCAGTCCTGTGCCTGATCTGCCAGACGGAGCCAAGCCAGGGATTCGGATTGGCTCCCGGGCATAACACATTAGCTGAGAATAAAGGAGAGAACACAGGAAAGTGGGATCCAGTGGATCAAGGTGGGGTTTTCTGTGCAATGACTGGGTGCCTTTGTGAGCGTATCTGTTCAGAGCACGTAACGAGGAGTAGAGAACCAGAGTGAATTCCACAGCACCAGTCATTTCGGGGTACGTGGCGCATTCTCTAGCTGGCCGATGTTCTTGTTTTGGTTTGTTTCAGAAGTGCATAGGCCAGTGGGGTCTGAAGCCACATGATGAACCAGGAAGAAAACCCTCTGCCATCAAAGGGACTCTCACTCCCGCCCACCTACCGTGGAAAGGAACAATAAAAATTGGATGAGTTTTTATTTGAAGGAGGAGGAGGAGGAGGAGGAAGAAGAGGAAGAGAAGAAGAAAGAGAAGGAAAAGGATCATTTCTTTCTCGAGCTCCCTGTAGCTTCAGGGTTGGAGGGAAACAGCTGCAATAGTGTGATTGGCAGAGGTGGGGGTGGGGGGACGTGGGCACTGTTTCTTGGTTTTGTAGCAGTTCTAACTCTTCACCCTAAGGCTCAGCTTAACTTGTGGGGTTGAACAGACAATGTTTGTTGCCACAAACACAGCAACTGGGCAAACCCCCGCCTGCTGAGGGCTCGGCTAGCACCTCCCCAAGAACTGCCGCGGTCCAAGGAGGGTGTTCATTGCTTGTGTTGCAGAAACTGGACACTAGTAACTTTGAAGTGAAAATAGTGATGCCAACCGAGTGGCAGGCTGTACCTGGGGCAGGTCCTTCAGCACCCTCCGGCCTCTGCCCAGGGCTGGGCACCAGTGACCCGGGCTCCACAGGGCTGTGTCTGATGAGACACAGCAGATGATTCGGTCCTTGCGCAGTAAACAAAATGTGACTGGATGACTGATAAACTGTGGGAAAAGAAAGCAGGGTGACCGAGGGTTTGGTTTTCCTTAACTAGTACCGTGGGCTATTCTACTAGAAGAGAGAGCAAACCAAAAGACAAAGAACAAAAGTCTAAGTGAATAGAACCAGAGAGATAATTGCATTACCCCTTGAGTGACTTTATTCTTTTTAAAAAAACAAAAACTCAATAGTAGCAAATAATGAAAATAGGAGAGGATAAGCACAAATAAATAAATATAATCATTAAAAATCTCATTTTGACTCAAGGGTATTTTTTTAACTGTTTAGACTCAAAAGATTATTTTTTCTTTTTTACATTTTTTTCTTTATTGATCTTTTAGAGAGAGAGGAAGGGAGAGGGAGAGAGAGATAGAAACATCAATGAGAGAGAACATCGATTGGCCGCCTCCTGCATGCCCCCCACTGGGGATCAGGCCCACAGCCTGGGCATGTGTCCTGACTGGGAATCAAACCGATGACCTCTTGGTGCAGGGGTCGACGCTCAGCTACCTGGGCCAGGCTAGACTCAAAAGGTTTTCTCTTTGACTTTATTATTAGTCACTATTGGTATATTTTCATTGAATTACACCACCAATTGAACATTTTATAATTCTATTGTTCAAGTACACAATTCTATCATAATTGCAGATTCTATTGAAAATTAGAAATGCATCATTAATAAATATTCTAAGTAATATTTTGAATACATAATGCCTTTCTACAGTAAAAATCAATTTCATAAACATTATCTCATTTATTCTCCCCCAAATTTCACCAAGGTAGGGTCATCGGCAGGTGTCATTTTTCTCGCTGTAGATATTCAGAGAGCAGTTATAAAAATTGACTCATCAGCGGAGGCCATGCAGAGCGTTAAGGTGCCAGTAAGAGCCACGATCCAGGCCTCAGCACGTGGGCGTGACCGTGGGGAAGGACCTGGAGGTGGAGAGCCTGGGGTGGCTTTGGGAGAGCCTCTGACCCGGCGACTCAGCCCTCTCTGCCAAGGGGAGACAACAGCTTCGAAACTGTGCGGCCACAAGGCAGCTGTGGTGCTGAACCTGAAAATGGTGGTGAGGTGCTTTGAGAAACAAGAGTCACTGTACAGGCGACTGCACGGGACCAGAACCGAAGGCAGAAGCCGGGTCACACCAGCAGCCAGTGGGCAAACCCATCAGGGCACGGGGTTTCCTCCTTGCTGTTCTGCCTGCTGCATCAGGACACAAAGGGACAGGAAGGGGACACCACAGGGCGGGGCCACATCCCTCATCTCTTACTGTGCCCAGTGCCGAGGGAAGCCAGAGAGACGTGGGGTCTGGCTGCCGCCACCCTTAGGCACAGCTTCCCCCACATCCACGAGGTGAGGGGAAAGCAACTGAGGAAGAAAAGGGACAGTTTCCTAAAAACGACGACATTCTCTTTCTGGGCAAATGCAGGTGTCTGGTTTTGAGCGGTGAGGACGCTCACGCGGTTGCCGGGCACCGTTCTGACCACTGGCCGCCAGGCCCTCCCTGGGAGGTGCCGCCCTTCCTGCTGCAGGGACGTGATGGACCACAAGCCAAGGGACAGGGCCTTCCGTGGCTCTCCCAGGCCAGGGAGGTGTCCACCTGTCTGTCTGCGCCAGCCTCTCTCTCCCGTCCCGCCAGCAGCTCTCTGGTGCTGCGAACTTGCTGGAGGTCGGCCGGGATGCCCTGTGCCTGGGGGGCGGGGGGCACACTGCTGGGCCGAGGAGACCCGCAGAGAGGGGAGGTGGGGGATGTTTTCCAGTCGCCCCTGCATAGGCTCTCGAGTTGGGGTGGCCCCAGGGACCCTGCCCTGTCAGAAAGCAGCTGGAGAGGCGGGGAGTGGAAGGGAAGGGCCTCCCTTTTCAAGTGGAGGGTAGTGACTGAGAAGCAGGGCCTGGCTCACAGGAATCCGATGCCCCACGCGCTGGGCGGGCCGTCCACACGCAGGACAGCTTTCTCTCCCGGCCTTGTCACCATGGGTGACTGTGTCCCCCTCTTCAGAACAAGTCATCGGTTTGGAGTGAGGAGGCGCCAGAAGGAAGGTGCCGGCTGTGCAGTGATCGGAGCAGAAACCCCGTGAAGTCATGGCTGCTGCTCGCCTGGCCCCCGGGGGTTCCACGCCCCGCTCCCAAACTAAGACCGGAGCTGGACTGCAGCCCCAGGCCGCGAACGACGCTGATGTGCTATTTTACACCCCAAATAATTTCCGCTTGGATCACAGACATCTAAAAATCACATACATGCCCTGGCTGGTTTGGCTCAGCAGTTGGAGGTTTGGACTGCGGACCAGAGAGTCCTGGGTTCAGTTCCCACTAGGGGCACGTACCAAAAAATAAAATAAAAAATAAAAATCACATACAAAAGAATTAAAAACAACGTTGTTTTTAAATTTGGAATTAGGAATGCCTCTCTAAGCAAAACCCAGAGAAAGATGACTTTTAAAAAAAATTCTGAATATGGAAGAAATAAAAAAACAAATGGTAAACTGAGAAAAGTATTTGAAAGATACAAAACAGACAGATATACAAAGTTATAGAGACTTCATAAAAAGATAACTAAACCCAAAATTATGGAAGGACACCACAGAAAATTTGAAAAGCTCAAAGATAATTTTAAAATAACTATCAATGAGAGTCTATTTTATGCCAGTCATATAAATAAATTAAAAACTGCCGGTGTTGGTTGGACTACAGAAAACGAGAGCGCTCATCCACGGACGCCGGGCTCTGCGCCAGGCGAGTCCTCGAGGGGAGCCTGGAATACGTTCCACACTCCGGACGCAGTTGCCTCCGGTACACGCTGCAACACGGACGGACGGGGAAACAGTGCAGTAAGGAAATGAATCAGGCCCCAAACGACAAGTAGTGTATGAGTCCACTTATATGAGAACAGAAAGATTCGAGATTCCAGGGGCTGGGGGGCAGCGGAGCCCCCAGAGAAGTGGCCCCTCCTTGAGCAGCCTCTGGCATCTCCCCAGCATGCTGCACACGTCACCCTTTCTAGCTGTGTCGTGATGTGGCGTTTGGGAAGCTGCTGGAACAGCCTGAATTTCAGTTTTAGGTCTATGCTGCTGTGGGGGGCAATTCGCACCACATACTTGTTCCCCCTCCCTTACCAATAGAACACAACTGGATAAAACCATATACAGAGAGTACATTTTATTTTCATTTATCACCTCTAATTCCCATCCAAAGAGTTAGCAAAACTCAAAGGACTAGAGCAAACACTGTGAGGGGTCAAGTTTACCTGCAGCTGCATGGACACTTGTCTCTCTTCTTTTTTTCTTTATTGGTTTTTTTAGAGAGAGAAGAAGGGAGAGGGAGAGATAGAAACATCGATGAGAGAGAACACTGACTGGCCGCCTCCTGCATGCCCCCCCACTGGGGATCAGGCCCACGACCTGGGCATGTGCCCTGACCGGGAATCAAACCCGGTAACCTCTTGGTGCGTGGGTCAATGCTCAACCACTGAGCCACACCAGCCAGGCTGGACACTTTTCTGTCTACACTTAGCTACCACCTCCAGCGTCTGTAGCGTTCTCGTCCACCCTTTCTACCTGGCACCTTGGGAGCCTGGTCCAAGGAGGCAGGTGGGACTCTGAAGGATGGGCGGAGACAGGAGTTGATGGAAACGCCCCAGGGGAGTTTCACCTGCGTACTCAGAGGGCCCACAGCAGGAGCTACCCAGTCTCAACCTTCCGGGGGTCTCTTCCCGTCTTTCCCTCCCCTCTTCCTCATCTGTGCTTCCTGCGATCACCTCCCAGATAAAGTACCTGCGCTTGAGTTTCCTCTGCTTTAGCCTTGCCTGACCTAAAATAGCAGGAAATGCTCTTTTCATTCCCCAAATCATTTTAGTTCTAAATAATGAGAAAACGTCTATTTTATACATCCAGATACACAGGATACATGACGTTTGTTCAAGGTCACTCCGTTCATGTCCTGTAATGGGGGCAGAAGCATTTTATAACCATGCTACCTGTGCCTTCTCCTACACAGATGAGCATCAGCGTAGAGATTAGCTGTGGTTCTCGTAACAAATATTTCATGCTTGTCGTTGGCTACCTAATTGCTTCTTAGGATTAAGCCAAACTTTAGCCCACGAATCTCCTGGTGGGACAGACTTGGAATTTGTCACGGGGCCCCGAGGTGCCCGGGGGGTCTCAGAGCCTCTCCCAGACGCACCTGACACGGTGTCTCCCGGCGAGTAGGAAGACCTGCTGGTGTGAATGGTGACATGGTGGGGCCTGGGGGCCTGAGGCCGGGCTTGATGTCTGGGCTGCATGTCCTCGCAGGCCACCCAGCTGGCGCCGTGGGAAAAGGCGGACGAGCCGGCAGCCAGGCAGCGGGCGGCACAAACCCAGCCAGCAAGGGCCACTCTCCTGCCCTTTCCCGTCACAGGAGCCACAGCCTCAATCCAGATGCTGCGTGAGGCTGTGACACGGTGCCTTCTGTGATATGGCTGAGCCGAGTCCCACGCTGCCTGACCCCCGAGACACCTCGAGTGCTGCCTCCCAGATTGCGAGCACTCACGGTCAAGGTCAAAGACATGCCAAACTATAGTGCTTCATTTCTAAACACTTGGGAAAAACAAAAAAACTTTCTTTTTAAAATTTTCTCAAAAGTCCAGACTGCTTTGTTTTCAAGAGAGGATTTAATGTTTAAGTCAAAGAAATAAGACAAGAAAATAATTGTACGCTATGTGGCCTCCTTACTAGCTGTCTGATATCCAAGGTCAGTGTGAGCTATAATACATTACAGCTGAAGTGGACACGCAGTGTTCCAATATGCCAGGCAGTAAGGCATATTAACATCTTATCTCTGTAATTGCAAATCACAGAGTTAAATGCTACCAAGTTCGGCCAACTATCAGTTATTTAGAGGTGACTGCCGCGTTCACGGTGCTCCTGGTCCCCCTCCTGTGGACCGTTTCGAGCTATCTCACGACTTTGCACAGAGCACACGAGAAGCGAAAGTTACAGCCAAGCCGATCCCTCTCCACCTCGTTAGCTAGAGTGGCAAAGAGAATTGGCTCAGGGATGGAATAAAATGATTGGATAAAATAACATTTATAGAGTAAATTTCATTTTTGTTTGCCACCTTGAATGACTATCAGCAGAAAGAATGAAAAGTAGTGTAAAAGAAGGTCACAGGTGAAAATCAAGGGAGAGAAAGCAAATAAGACCGGTAAAAAGCTCTCTGAATAAATATTTGGGACTGTCAGACATTTTTTAAAAAGCAGTTGTTTGTTTTTATAGTCCTTTGCACAGGTATTTTAGAAGTTCTGCTAATACTTTTATCTAAGGAGCAAAGCGAAGCAACAACAGCCCTCCTCTCTAGTAAGTTGGTTTAAAAAGTTAAAAATAAAAAGTAAAAATTTAGTGAAACTAGCTATAAAAACACATTAAAGAGATCATCCATACCACCACATAAACAAAGGTCATCTAGTCCTCTTACCTTTTACATGCTATCACCACCACCTTCCTCACTGACCGGACAAGGAGTAGGATCTGCAGGTCACATCTTTGGAGCAATACCTTTCTCTGCCAGGTTTGCTTCCGTGAGGCAAAACCCCCTGCACCACAAGGGGCCATTCCTACAGCTTTCCCCAGGAAGAAATAATAAACAAGGACTCGAACAAGCATGTTCTCAGTTGAGGGGCAGAGGGCCCTGCCCATTTTCAGAAGGCCACATGGAAAACGCCCCTTCGCCCTAGCTGACGGCAGATGTGTCCACTCCCCAAAGGCAGATCAACACAGGTGCCCACAGAGGAAGGGGGTGAGGACACGGCCCACAGGTCACGCTGGCTGCAGCCGCAGCCCCACCCCCACCCTTCCTTCCTTAGACCTCGCCGCGTCTGCTTTCCCAGCACCCTGTCTGCCTGAGGCCGGGACACCACCACTTACCTGCGGGCACGCGTTCCTTCAGCTTTGGTGGACTTGCCAAGACACATCCTTTAAACGGGTCTTTTCTCCTCCACTCAGATTCTCCTCTAATGGCAGGAAAACAGCTGTTACCCCAACCCTGGCATCCACGGGAACCGTCCCTCGGTGTCCGAGTCCGGCCTTCACCGCCTTGGCTCTCTCTAGACCGCATGGGCATGCTCACGCAGATTCCACGTCGAGGCCATTCGGGCCCGTGCGAAGAGCCGACAGACTGGAGCAGGTCTGCCCACGACTGGCATTGCACCCTCAGCGGGAGCCGGATGCCTTCACCTTGGTCTCCCCCTGGGGGGCGGGGGGGAACCAGCTCAGCGTCCTGTGCTTCGGCGTCAGCGTGGGCTGCAGAGGTCCGGTGGGCAGGAAACCGTGGCCAGCAGCCAAGCTCGCGCACAGAGGCCCCTCGGCACACTCCCGCCCCAGTGCGCTGGCGCTGGGCTCACGTGTTTGGACGCACGTGACAGTCAGATCACAGCTCAGAGCCTGCAGAGCAGTGGTGCTCAAAGTGGGGTCCCCAGAGCACATCGTCCGCATTCCCTGAGAACTCGTTAGGAGTATGAGTCCCTGGACCCCACTCCACACGACCGAATCAGAAGCTCTCGGGGTGGGGTCCAGCAATCTGTGGTTTAACAAGCCTTCCAGGTTATTCTGGTTCAAGCAAGATTCGAGAAACACTGGTATGGATTCCCCAGGCTTCTTTACAGACTCTCAAAATCTAAATCTTTGGGAGAAAGTCCTGGAAATCTGCATTTTTGTTACACACCCCACGAGATTCTTTTGACCAGGTGAGTTAGGAAAACACTGAGTTGAAGAATCAGCACAGTCAGAAAAACCTCCAAAACTCAGAGGCCCCACCCATCTGGGATTTGTTGATAAAGATGTTGGGCTCCTCAAAGGACATTGGCCAATTGCAACAAGAGTTATTTAAACGAGTATCTGAACACCAAATGTGTGCCAGGCATTTATTTGGACAAAAAACAAAGATGAATTAGACACTATCCAGACCCATAAATCCACACAGGAAATGGAGGAGACGCAAAAGGCTAGCGACCTGGCGTGTGATTCTTGGCAACATTCTGGAACAGCCAGTGGCTGCCAGGGGCGGGGGTCCTGAGCGTGACCATGAAGGCAGCATTTTGGGGACGGTGAAACTGTTCTGAATCGACGTGGAGCTCACACAACTGCATGAGCTTGGTAACATTTATAGACTGTTGCACCAACACCTCACATGAATAAACACCACGTGCAAGTAAAAAAGGAGAATAACCAAAGAAACGGAGGTGACAGGACAGACACCAGTCACTATTAGACAAATGGTAGGTGGGAGTTTTTAAAGGAGTTACCTGAGAGAAACTCTACGAGGCCCCAAAATGTTTCACAGAGGTTACATCTGAACTGCACCTTAAACTGTGAGCAGTTTTTCTTATCAATACAGATCGGAATAAGAAGAATGTATTGAATACAGTGTAGTCCGTGGCCTGACTACAACCCCGAAGAGTCTCACTGTCCAATGTGGTCCACGGGCCAGCAGCATCCACATGGCCTGGGGGCTCGTTAGAAGTGCAGAGTCTCAGGCCCCTCTGCTGATCCGCTGAGTTGGTTTCTGCAGATTGGTTAGAGGTGGCCCGTTTCCCCAAGACCTCAACCCATCGATCAGGCAGCAGCCAGCCAGACTGCCTTGAGAACCTGGCCTTCTCCTGACACAGATCCTCGGGCTGAAAGGTTAAGGAGGGCTAGGTGACCCGGCAGGCCGAGGCCGAAGTCCACTTCCGAGTCTGCCCATGTCCCCTTCTCCTGTACCGGCGTCCGCGTGAGAGGGCTCTGTGGGTGAGCTTGTTTCTGGTTTCCACCTACGCACTGGACCATGGAGTCCTGCCGAGGGCCCGGCACGTGAGAGGCGTCCCTGGAAAGAAGGCTGGAGGGAGGAGGAGAGCGAGGCTGAAAAGTGCTGCAGTGACCAGACTCTGAAGGGATCTGTGCATCAGTGAGGCGGCCCACACCCGGGAGAAAAGGAACCAGAGGGCTCTGAGTACGGAGCACGTGCCTCTGGTAACTCATTAACAACCTTTCCCCAGCGTTGAAATTGACTAGTGTTGTTTTTTTGTTTGTTTGTTTGATTTAACTAGATGTACTGGGGTGACACTGGTTAATAAGATTGCATAAGTTTCAAGTATAGAATTCCACAATACATCATCTGTATCTTGCATTGTGTGCTCACCACCCAAAGTCAAGTCTCCTTCTGTCACCATGTCTTTGACCCCTAACTTGACCCTTCTCTACCTCCCACCCCCCTTCCCCTCTGGTGACCACTGTGCCATTGTCTATTTGACCAGCGTTTGTTTGTTTGTTTTATCCTCACCCGAGGGACATTTTTCCATTTTTGTTCAGGTGGAGTGGGAGGGAGAGAGAGAAACATCGATGTGAAAGGGACACATCGAGTGGCTGCCTCCCACACGATCCCAACCGGGGCCGGGGGGAAAACTGCAACTGAGGCATGTGCCCTTAGCGGGAACCAAACCCAGGTCTCTCTGCACTGCAGGGCCAACGCCCTAACCGCTGAGCCAAACCGGCCAGGGCTTGACCAGTGTTTTGACAGACACTGGCTATCCTAGCATCATTATTGTAGTGAACATCTTAAAATTTACCTAGATAAGAAATTTTAAAGCCTCCAATTTCTGGAGTACTGGGACAATCTGTGTAGGAAAAGAGAAAAACTCTCACCATTTTCTTTGAACTCAACTTTAATGTACTTAAAAATGGGAAATCAATGGCCATTTACGTATATTCAGCAGGCTTGTCGACTTTTGCTTCATTCTTCAAGCTACTGTGCACTTTCTTCCATTAAAAAAAAGAGAATGGTTTAGAGCTCTTTTTCCACCCAATTATCCTCCCCTCCGTTCTCCCTGCTGGAGAATAATACAGACAACAGGATGTGAAAACATCACTATTCGAATGCTTATTATTTGCAAAGCAATCCTTGAAGACAGTCGGCTGATGTCAGAAGGTATCGGTGGGATCTCTCCTCTCCAGGAGTTGACATTTTGCCTTGCGTGACAAGCGAGATACAGGGGAAGAGCTTGGAAGTCAGACAGCAAGTTGGTTATGTGACCCTGGACAACTGGATTCATGTTGATGAGCCTCACTTTTCCCATCTGTAAGATGGGAGACCATTGGCTTTCTCCCAAGACTGTTAGAGGGACTTGATGCACCAGGAAAGCGATGCCATCGATGAAAGCTATCACCAGAGGGAGAGGAAAGCCAGGAGACCAGGAGGTAGAGCACAGAGGGATAGGTCAGCTAGAAGCAGGAGAAGATGGCTGAGCTCAGTGGCCAGGAGGGGTTTGGGTGGAGAGGGTAGCGGGACACAAAGCAGGAAAGGCAGCTTGAGCAAAGGTGTGAAAGTGGAAGTGTCCGTTGTAATTATCCAGAAAGGCGACAAGGCACCCTGATGTCGGGTGAAGGCCACAGTGAGGTGGATGAGAGCAAACGGAAATAACCGGAAGAATCGGTAAGATTTGAAGACTGTATGGAGGCAAAGAAGTTTTTTAAAGATTGGTATTTAGCCCTGGCCGGTTTGGCTCAGCGGTTAGAGCGTCGGCCTGCGGTCCAGAGAGACCCGGGTTCGGTTCCCGCTAAGGGCACGTACCTCGGTTGCAGTTTGTCCCCGGCCCTGGTCGGTCGTGCGGGTGGCAGCCACTCGATGTGTCCCTTCACGTCGATGTTTCTCTCTCTCTCTCTGTTCCTCTCTCTCCTTCCCACTCTACCTGAACAAAAAATGGAAAAATGTCCTCGGGTGAGGATAAAAAAACAAAACAAAAAACTGGTATTTAGAAAGCCTGAATGACTAAGATAACCTATACCTGAAACAGGGAAGGTGGCGGTGTTCAATTTTAGATATGCTGAAAATGCACCCAGTATTCATCTGCTCCTTCAGTCAACTTTTACTAAATGCCTCCTGGGTGCAGGCCATGTGCTCACAGCTGGGGACATAAAGATGAATGACACACAGTGTCCGTCTCTCTGGGGCTGGCGATGGAGACTAATGCATCCACAGACCATCGCAGAACCGTGGGAGAAATGACTAGGAGAGACAGAGTCACAAATAGCAGCACAGAAAAGGAGCATCTGGGAACATTAGGAATTTCCTTTTCCCTTTTCAAACAACTCAAACATGCACATCTTGTCATTGGACGCCAAAAAGTGGTCTCAAAGAGAAGTCTTGAAATAATTCTGGGGACATCTACATACAGGACTGTTCTTTGCATCTTTGGGGGATCCTACTCCACGTGCACTCCTCGTCCTCAGGTGGGCTCTTGGTCCCACACACTGCCCTGCGTGGCAACTGATGGGTTTTGTGTGGACACTTTTATACGAGCCTAGCTCTGCCCTGGAGGCTAGAGATCATCAGAAAACTGCCCAGGCTGCCTGCCTTGCTCAGCACAGGACCTCGCTCATCCAAAGTCACCTGTTCAAGAATTTAGCGGAGACAAGCTAGGGAAGATCAGGGTGGGTGCAGCTCTGTTCAGAACTGCTTCATTTATTCTAATCATCCTTCTTCCAACTTTTCCAGGGAAGTAAGAATAACAGCTCCCATTCACGGAGCGCTTTCCATGTGCCAGTCACATCTCACACTACTTGTACGAGCTCATCTAACCTCACAGCAAGCCTGTTACTATGTGCTAATACCCTCCGCAGGTCCCAGATGAGAAGACAAAGGCGTGGAGAGATGGAAACACGTCGTCTGCAGTAGCAGTGCTAGTAAGCAGAGGGGCCGAGCCGCAGAGCCCTGCAGAGGTGCTCCGGAGCCTGTTCAGGAAAACTCACACACGGAGTGGCTGGTGATGCTTCTAAAGAACTAATTAAGGCTGAAGGGCAAGAATTCCGTTCCCTACTTCTCGGGCCAGGGTTTGGAAGGCCATTCTGGGTAAGTGAGAAACCTGCTGAAGCCTCCCCTCCTGCACACCTGCAAACCCACCGTGAACAGGCGAACCGCTCTTCCCAAGCACGCGAGCAAAGCCAGTCCAGCGGACCTCAGTCCCCTCCTTCCCCAACACTTCCTTCTGCCGGGCAGGTTCTCACATTAAAGAACACTGAAAAGTTTTAAGGATTTCTTTCTTTTTCCCTTCTCTCTCTCCTTTTAAAATAAAGAAGGGAGCAGGATGTGTATGTGAGCACCTGCGCAGCATCCCTCCCCTCACCCTCCACAGTGCCCTTGCTGTCCCCTCAGGGATGCAGTCACAGCAAACAGGTTTATTCTCCTTTACAGAAGCAAGCCAAGCCTCTCCTTATTTCTGCATCAAGAAGAAGCAAATTGTTTGGTTGCCCCCTGCCCTCCACTGGCGAAGGGAAATACCAGTCTCTGAATAGGAAAGTCGGTCATTAAAATTGTTCTTTTTTTTCCTACTTTGTAAATATTTCTCAGGCACCTACAAAGACCAACCTGCACAGATGATTCTCTGGTTCATTTTCATAGACCGTTTCTGCAGGGCACATTCCTTCTTCTGGTTTATGACCCTCAACTCCAG